TTTAGTCATATTTTTCAGCTTGTTCATTTTTAGTTAGTGATATTCAAAACTTGGTTAGTGATAAACTTGGCGCAACATTCTTTCAATCAAGAAAGCATGTTGCACCCAATCCAATAAATTTCAGTCATATTTTTAAGCTTGTTCATTTTTAGTTAGTGATATTCAAAACTTGGTTAGTGATATTATACAAACCAAGTTCTCTCAAGAAAGTCACAAATACAAATAAATAAGACCTTGCTTTGAATAACTACAACTATGATGGCTATCCATGATAGTTATAGTTATGGGTTGGGTTGAACCTCAAACCCCCTAAATATTTCTAGAAATGTACCAAAAGAAATTGTTGGAATAGTCTCTGCAATTATATCAAGTTGCAATAGTCTCAATGACAATGAATACAATTGTGAAGGTGTGAGTCAATGATGATTACAATTGTGAAGGTGGGAGTGGTCACTGATTTTGATTTCATTTTTTGTGATTGGTGTAGCAATCAACCGGGTGATGAATAATACCTGGTCATATTCATGACTGATCGGCTAGCTGGGACTTTCTAAATGGTGTGTAAATATTGTGGTGTTGGAACTTTGTAAATATGGAATTCACGTCCGATTGATGTGTCCTTTGCGCTAACTATTAGGTACCAAGGATTATGATTTACTTTGTTTCACGTGATCATGCAATAATCATATTGTTGTGTTCTTGCAGGCTTGTGTCAATTACATACAGACTCCGCCTGCAAATCCCCATCAAATATGTCGTATGATATATGATTGATGATGTAATGACAATTAGGAGCTCGACTAATAGACCCCATAATCAATAACCTAATACCTTTTGCACTATTTGCATGGGGGGGTCAACAAAGCTTAAGAGATCCTTGAATTGCACAGCTGAAAAGCCCAAAAAAGTTGCCTCCTACTGCCCCATACTCAATTCATGTTGAGTATAATCAGAGAACATATCACAAACTGTGACAACAACATGCAGCAAACCCTGGTTCAGATGCAGACTACCCAAGTGAACCTAGAAGTGGGAAGTGGAGAAAAGTTTTCAATTGTGCGTGGGGATAGATACACGGATATTATGTCTGCACAACGGGATCATGTTCTAGCGTGCAGCCAGTGGAATCAGATATACTACCTTGTTGCTGATTGATTGATTGATTATCACACGTGCACACATCCACGCATGATATTGTAAGGATTTGCATGGAAGACAGCAAATCTATACAATATCATGGGTGGATGTGTGCAGCAATCAGTCATGTTAGAAAAATAACACACACACCAGACACATTATTTGTACAAACATAAACTTGTTTGTTGAACATAACAAGTTTGATGCAATACTGGACTGTGTTCAGTTATATACCGAGTAATATGTATATGCCTGTAGAGTATACATATAGGAGCTAAATATCTATTTTCATCGCATTAGTGGGCATCAAGCATAGGTGTTCTGTACTTTCCTTATAATTACAATGATGACACAGATATGTTGTTTCTGACCATATTCTGCAAGTATATGGGCCAACAAGGCAAGGCACCAACCAACAACCAGATATGGGCTTTTGTAGCCGTACACCTACCATACCACATAATTCAACCACATACGTCAAAAAGGACCTGATGGTGGTTAGCTGTTCAAGGAAGATTAAAGTAAAGGGTATCATTACCATTACCAAAATAATCTAGAGTGAGTCTGATCAAAAGATCTTATCTGTTTATCATTGTATTCTGGGTATGTGAATTGCATTAGTTTCACTGAACATAACAAAATTATATCTCTGGTCTTATCTTAGGAAAGCTAATTAGATCACATAAAATCACATAAATCAAGCAAGTTTGTATCACCTGTGATTACTGGATTGCACCTACTGTATAGGTTGAAACAGCCCCCTGTATGAACCTATGCTATTGGAACCTCCCCCTATAGAACTTCTTAGCACCTTAGGTAGTGCTAGGGTGACCTCAAAATATCGCTAAGTCATCAATCCCCCAAGGGGGGGGGGCCTTGCCACGCGTGACAAGTCTCACTACCATACTCCCCAGAGTTACTACTCTTACTTTAAAGTTACTACTCAAGTAAAAATATACCACATGTACAGAATAGCTAAAACCGTAACAAACAATCTCACTCCCCTTACACTAAAATTCCTACCCAAGCAGGAATCTACCACCTATACAAATAACTTACGCTCATACACTACCAACATCACTACCCTTTAAAACCAATACAGCCATCTCCCTACCCTATGAAACAAATAACTCCCGTACTGCAAATAAAACAGTTTCACCCCCTTAGCACGCAAAGTGCCAACCTCACAGCCCTCCCCTCCCCCGACATATCACTATGCCTCTACAAATCACTCAATGTTACTACCACAATTCAGCCAATCACGACCCTTTCCTGGATTTGTCACGACCCATCACCAATATATCACTACCTCACAAAAAAACCACTCACATCACATCCCCATCATCCAAGCTCAGCACAACAACCTATACAACCAAACTCAACACCCACCCAATGGAAGCCAGGCAAGAGGAGTACTTCTTCCCCGTACCCAACGCTATCGAAATACACCATCCGGATTGACGCAAGATGGACACCTATGTCAAAGATTTCCAAGCCACCAAGCACGGGTATTGCATATAAATTGATAAGTCAAAGAAAGGTAGTTCCTTCATTCATTATGCATGCTACCGCTCAGGGTTTCCACCAGGACGACCGTCTGTTCTCAGTCAAACCAAATCCCTTCAAAATGGCTGCCCATTTCATCTATCTACTCAATACCTTCACTCCCAGGCAAAATGGATCCTTATACATACTCATCTCGGGCACAATCATCCCCCCTACCCAAACATCAAACCTCGCAAGAAGAAGCCAGTCCCTCCTGATGCCCCCCCATCTGCTCTCCCACCCATTGCAATTGACAGCTGCGCTCCTTCAAGAGATGCCTCTGACATCAATGACTCACCTCACCATGGACACAATCAACATACTCAGGTTCCAACACATCTCAACGACTGCACCAGGACCCTCGAAGCTTATATATCAAAGATAAGTGTGTCTCTTCATTGCATGACACCACGGCGTCAACACAAAGCCCTCCAGAAGATCAATGCAATATTATGCCAAACCAAGAATGAAGAATCACCCAACAATACCGTCCTGGACGATACCAGTCATTGATTGACCGGTAAGCTACTCAGTGAACGCCCACAAACTCTACCACTATCTTTCACAACCCAATGTGATATCCCAGAGGCCGTAAGTAGCGACGATACTACATTAACTTGGGTCCACGCTCACCAACAATCAGTTTTCAGATGGACTACCTTCGCACACTACACGGTTCCACCACCAATCAATGTCCACAACATGACAAAGACAAAGACCAAGACCCATTCTTCAATAAATCAGTAAGTCTTTGCACCAAACTTCCTTCAATAACTTCCTTATCTAATATCTGATCTCTACAATGTTGTCCAACACAGATCAATAGCATTCTGGAAGAGTTTCATGTTGCAACCAATATGACCAACTTGACATTCAACTTTGAAAATCTTATACATTCTCAGGTCATTGCATCACAGCCTTCCCAGTCAAATAAGCCTTCCAATGCGTCTCAACTGACAGACCAGGCTAAAAACAACAAAGTAAGTGGAATCAATCAGGTTCAGCCCATATCTTTCGTATCTAACTTGCCTACCTCTGCACCTCGTAAACCTTGGTACTTCGGACCCGTACCGAGGAAAACGTGTACCGTATCCTCGGAGCGGCTCCGTATACAAGCGGCAGATGCATTCGGGATGACTCAGATGCATCTGAAGGCATCCCCCAGCATGCCAAGTCCACTCGCACACGCCAACACAACTGTCTACACATTTATAAACAATGCCACACCCACATGTGTAGGTGTGTGACACAACACGGTAGCTTGACTTATCTACACACAAACATGTAGATCTTGTACACACGTATGTACACATGTGTGGCACATAAGAAAACATGTGCACACAAACCTGTGTAGTTTTGTGACACACTATGGCTACTCACACTAAGTACGTACCTAAGTGCATCTTGTACACACCCATGCACACATGTGTGTGTCATGTGTTACACTGTTTTTGATATGTGACACACACAGACTGTTCGTGGTCACACCCACACCCATTTCTCTAAACCTAACCAAATCACCACGTGTGATGTGGGTTTGTCACTCAACAACCGCATCAAACACAACCACCCACACAATCAAACACCTCACCCATCACTACACCACACAATCGAAACGAACACATTCCTCTCTCATCACTTCTCTCATCACTTCCCTCTAACCATTGCCAGATCGGTCTGGAATCTACCTTGGTGAGTCCAGTCTATCTACAAACTCACCTTCTGATCGATTGTACTTACACTTACAAACTTGATTTTTCGAACAACTCTGTATTATATCAATGATTGGCGTCACTCATCCTCACATCAAAAAAACGTCTCTCACTCATCCTTACATCACCTCACACAGTTTTCGATTGTTTTCTTAACTTCTTTCCATTCAACCTTTCAAACACGTTAATAACGCTTTAAAGAACCCAACCAATTTGTCCGGTAAGTCCAATCAATCTTCTTATTCTCACAACCTTCAGATCAATCGTACTCATATCAAACACAACTTTTCACACGTCCTCTCACAACATTTCACACCTTTCTCACAGCACATCACACAACTTTCTCAAGAACCCAACCGATTTGTCAACCCTCGCCGGCTGAAATACCTCGGTAAGTCCAATCAATCTTCTTATTCTCACAACCTTCAGATCAATCGTACTCACATCAAACACAACTTTTCACACTTCTTCTCACAACATCTCACACCTTTCTCACAACACATCACACAACTTTTGAACTCCAACACAATTTTCATTTTCAATTCTTTTCCTTTATCATTACCAACCCATTGAATAACCAACTCGATCGATCCATTCAGCCTCACGATGACTGAGATTCCACCACCTGAGGCTAGAACTGGCTTCAAAACTCGACTTCACGCCATCCTGTACATTCAGGAACATTCCAACAATAATGGCTTTCGTGTAACCATCAAGGATTCCAGGCCGAAATGGGTTCAATTCAAATGTCATCTAGGACCAACTCGACACAAGGACACCAATTCCAATGCGAATACCAAGACGTGTGGATTTCTGTCCACCTCTAAACTCGATTCTTCCGATGGAACTTGGAATTTTACTATTCAAAACGCGAATCACAATCATGAACCGGACTTCAATATACACAAGCACGATCTTGCGATTTTACGTGACACCATCAGCAAAGAAGAAGAAAAACAACATCGAAACATTGTAACACCTCAAATTCCTTCAGGACAAATCCTTATACCTCATATTCAATCAGTCCAACCTTCGACTTCTGCAATCACTCCCCCGTTTTTTATACTTCAATACCAAGCTCTGAAGCAGCAAATGCAAGCTCTGCCAATGCAGTCTCAAGCGTATCTATTGACTCGATTCCTTTCCGAATGCCAGCTTGCTGCCGGACTTGCAAACACAGTCTCAACTCCTATTCCCACACCTCTACCTCCTAATCCTCTCCCCGAAATCTCGAATACAACACCCCAAGATTCAACAACTCCAAAGGCTTCGAATCAGTCTACTAATGATGAAGACACACAAGAATCACAATTTTTAAGCAACTCACCCATCAAATCTAATCCAGATCAAAGCTTGGTAAGCTTGTTCAGATATGATTCATCATATTTGATGCTTACTATGTATTGATCTGACTTCTTAGCTTAATATCAAGAATCGAGAAACGGCAAAAAGTGGAGAATCGAAAGGGAATGAACGTGAGGAGCCGCCAATCTCAGAAGAGGAAGAAGCACCTGAAGAAAATCACGCACCAGTATGTCAATCTTTGACAACCTTAAACTTATCGCTTATTCATTTAGCTAACACACCATGTTACCTTACCACAGGATAGCAATCCCGTTGTTCATAGGAGTCCAAAGATTTCGAAGGTAAGCTATTCACATTATTTAATAAATGTGTATGTCGAAATTCAACTAAACTGATACATCATTATTTTGAACAAAGAAGAAAACACCAAAGAGAAAAGCTTCAGCTGTGGAAGAGCCGACACACAATAACCATCCTACGAGTCCAATAACAACAAGGGCTTCAAGCTCAAGCCACGCTCAAGTTGCCCGAAAATCAACTAGGACAATTCAAAATAAAGAAAACGTAGGAGATCAAATCATAATTAGATGACTATCATCAACTAACTCCATTTGTTTACTCTAGGATCAACCAAAGGTGAAGAAAGCTCGGACACAAGCAAACAACCATGAAGTTAGTTTCCAACTTCCATTTTCATCACTCGTCTTAACTAATTGATTCATCAGCTTACCTTGCACCACAAAGCCTCCAAACGAAGATCGAAGTCGAAGGCAAAGCCGAAGCTATCCAAATACAAACAAAAAGTGATGGAACGCGTAAAGAACATGTCAAAAGAAAACCAGGCAATAGTCAAAGTACGTCCCTTGCTGGCTTCATTTCTTAGTTTATGAACAGATAGAATGTATACGTGTAATTTTACTGATTTGATATTATGATTCAACTCGCAGAGATGGGATTGTGTCAAGACCCTCCCCGTAGAGTTGTTTCCTTTCATCAAATCCGCCGTTAACCCACCCGGCAAAGGTCTCTGCACCTTTGGAGCAATTGCGGTACAACTTGGTCGAGGTGTTGATGAGGCACCGATTGTCAGGCGTGAAATGCTTGCAGAAGTCCAAAAACGTCTCCCTTTGGTATACGAAACACCTTTTGACATTGTCATCTGAGCCGTTTGACATAGAGAAGATGCTCTCGATTCTTGAAAACCCCA